TATTCATACCTATTGTAATGTCATTCTGGTCCAGTTACATGATCGGGTCCCAGCGCCAGCTTCAGTGTAGAGGAGGGACAGCCGACAAAACAGCTGCCCCATGTAAGCCTATGAATGATGTCATCGTACAGGATCTGCAGCTGTTGTTGGCGATCTCTCCTCTATGCTGAAGCTGATGCTGTAGACATCACGTGATTGGACCAAAGCGACTGCAGAATAGTATAGGCATTTTTCCTTTTACAGGGTAGATAGAATAGGCTTCAAATGGGGGTGGGAGTAGAATTTAGCTCAAGGTTTTGATTTGTCTTCCGTTTTAATGTCTCCTGAGTGCCTGGCCTCAGAAGAGGACACCCTGTCAACATTACTGTTTGACATCAAAATGAAGATTGTCATCTGTTATTGAGAAAATGTCAGATTCTTCATACAACCATCCTTTGCAGTGTAATTTCTGTTAATGCTGATATTTAAAAAAAAATATTTTGCAATACTCACGAGACTTCAGGAGTATGTCTAAATGGACAGTCCTGCACAAGGGACTGCTGGAGGTATGCAAAAGGGTCAGAAATGCTACCAAAAAAAATAAAGGATATGTCAGCAATGACAGGCTCCATGGTTCTCTTGACTGTTGCCTTTAATTTAGTTCAAGTGATCAGAGGGGACTGAGTGCTAATAAGGTCGGTTGTCAAAAACTTAGGTCAGCAGTTGTTCAAAGCTCCTTCCTTCTGTCATAATTTTGGTGGAAAAGCAGATGAGATAAGAGAGCTGGAGGGAGGATCATGGAGACATGACAATTACAGATGACGATTATGAAAATTGAGAGGAAAAAAAAAACAAGCAGTCCTTTTCCTTTGAGTTTACAGCAGTCTGGCCATATGTGTGGCTTAAAATGTTTCATATGGCATGTAGGCCAGTTACTAGGGAACTGTCATTCTCTAAATACTGCAATTCCCATTTCCCTGTAATCAATCATTTAAAGCCCAGTATGTTCCTGGCTCCTGATATGACACTACAATACAGTTGTGGCCAAAATTATTCAACCCCCATGCTGTTAAAGGGGTTTAGGGACTATAGTGTACATTTGGAATTGTATTCAGATTACAAGGACGTTGTAACTACCCAAATGCAACTAAAATGACATCAATTGTTGTATGTAATACAGTAGTAAATGGTTCTTATGTGGTTTCTTCATTGCCACAATTATTAACCTTAAAGATACTCTGAAGAACAAAGGTTCATACAGGTATTTTCCATCAGGTATTGAAAACACCTGTGGTGTCACCGAGCAGCAATCAAGCATATAAGCACCAATTAGGCAGCTTTAAAATGACTGTGATACTCAGCTCCTTCTAGACATTTACTGGTGTGGTTACAAACATGGTGAAGCAAGAGAATGGTCCAGGAAGACAAGAGAAGAGGTGATTTCTCTTCACAGGAAGGGCAATGGCAGAAATTGCAAAGATGTTAAACATACCAAAGAAAACCTTAGGAAGCATCATTCGCAAATTCAAGGCAAAGGGCACTGTTGAAAGAAACGCTACCTGGTCGTGGCAGAAAGAAGATGCTGACTTCGACTGCTGTGCGCTACCTGAAGCGTAGAGTGGAGAGAAGTCCCCGTGTGACTGCTGAGGAATGAGAAAAGATTTGTCAGATGTGGGTACAGAAGTTTCAGCCCAGACAATAAGACGCACACTGCGTAATGAAGGCCTCCGTGCCAGAACTCCCAGGCGTACCCCCTTGCTGTCTCCAAAGAATAAGAAGAGTCGACTGCAGTATGCCAAAAGCCATGTGGACAAACCACAAAAGTTGTGGGATAGTGTTCTGTCTGACTGATGAAACAAAATTAGAACTGTTTGGGCCCATGGATCAACGCTATGTTTTGGAGGAGGAAGAACAAGGCCTATGATGAAAAAACACCTTGCCTACTGTGAAGCATGGTGGAGGGTCAATCATGCTTTGGGGCTGTTTTGCTTCTGCAGGTACAGGGAAGCTTCAGCGTGTGCAAGGTACCATGAATTCTCTTCAGTACCAGGAGATATTGGATGGAAACGTGATGCAGTCCGTCACACACCTGAGGCTTGGGAGACGTTGGACCTTTCAACAGGACAATGATCCCAAGCATACCTCCAAGTCCACTAGAGCATGGTTGCAGAAAAGGCTGGAACATTTTGGAGTGGCCATCGCAGTCACCAGACTTAAATCCGATTGAGAACCTCTGGTGGGACTTAAAGAAAGCAGTTGCAGTGCGCAAGCCTAAGAATGTGACTGAACTGGAGGCCTTTGCCCATGAAGAATGGGCGAAGATACCCGTATATCGCTGCAAGACACTTGTGTCAAGCTATGCTTCACGTTTAAAAGCTGTTATAACTGTAAAAGGATGCTGTACTAAGTACTAAGATTGAATGTCACTTGGGGGTTGAATAAAACTGATAATGCTGTGAGCACAGAAAAAGACATTTGTGGTTATTTCATTATAACTGTTATGTTATATTTGTCTGACCTACAAGTGCTCTTTAATGTAAATGTAAGCAAGATGACTGAATGATCAAAAGCAATGTCAAACTGGCCAAAACACTCATTTCAGTGGGGGTTGAATAATTTTGGCCACAACTGTACAATATGTACCAGCATTGATTGAAAGCCATCATTTTCTTAGATTCCTAGGATGCACCCTGAATCTCACACACACCTACACTGTACTTCTATAATTAAAGTCAAAATTGTCACTAAAGAAATACGAAGGCTTCAGTTACTCCTTTGAAGAATATTAAATGCATGCCTCTAAACTTTCTGAGCAACAGCCTCAGAACAAGTATGCATTTTAGGAAATTCAGAAACACTTGTACTAAATTAGTAATAAAGCAAAAGGATCAACAGAAAAGCCAGGCAACTAACTTTTGCAGACTCTGAACCACCACCATCATCATCATCAGTTTTGTCATTCTCAAAAGGAATGGTTTAGCTTAAGGGCCATGCCCTGCGTAAAAGAAACGTTTTTCTTTTCAAAATTTTTTAAAAACACTGAGGGTCCCCAAATTGTCAGATCAGTTTCATTTCTCTGAGCTTTACTGAATAAAATATACTGAATCTCATTTACCAAAAACTACAGATCCTCATTGTACCAATAAAATGGCCAGATGTCACTTGGTACCCCACCTTTGGTGATGTTCTCTGTTACAGACCAAACTCAAAAGGTCCCGATGACTGAGCTTCACGCATGCTAGAAAATACCTACACCCTTGGTCCAGGTGAGGGGGGGTGGGTTTCATCAGTGTGTTGTCTATGCAAAAACTAAGAAATATTGAAAATACATTTTGTTGCGCACAAGAACATAGAAGACTTAGGTTTACTTTTTCTAATAAGCAATAGAAATAGAACAGCTAGAATTCCACTAATAATAATAACACCTTTGTCCTGGTTTTGATTAATGGACTCCAGTTACAGTTTTAAAGTGAACCTGCCCTTACAATATGAAAGAATGTGCCTGCAGGAAATGATATTCGAACTCCTTCCCACCCAGCCCCAGCATCCCTTTAAGGCTCCATGTACACGGGACACTTTTGAACGATGGAAACTGACTGCTGGAAAACGTAGGTTAAAAAAACGTCTGTTTAGCTGCATTTACATACCCCATTTCTCAGCATTTGCATTTAGAAGCGTTTTTTAAAGATAACCTCAGGAGACCTTCCAAAAAGCTCACAATGCACTGAAAAACAGTAAAAAAAATTAACTATTTTTGGACATTTTGAGAGCAATAGAGAGGGCAGAAGCAGAGAGAGCAGTATTTGTTGAGCTTAGCTGTCTTTTTGTCTGGTGTTTGGATGTGTTCAGCTCATTTCTGTGCAGAAATTATTGCAGCGGTGTCTAACATATTTTCTTTCATGCGAAACCTCAAAGTATGGTGTACCAGGTCCATTTGAGTACCGGGAAAATGCTTTGCATGCATTTTTCATTATGAAAAAAGGCTCTGGATAGCATCTGGAAATGGAAGAGTTAAAAGAAATTTTAAACGCAAAATGCTTTTAAACGCGGTTAGTCACGTTTACAAGCGTTTGGAGTTTGAAACACTGATAAAATCTACTCCTGAATGCAAGTTTTCTGCGATCAAAAAAACGTCTGTAAACTCAACTGCCTGTAAACCATGATGTGTACATGGACACATAGGAAAACATTAGGGAGAGTTCAGGGGCTGCTGAAAAAAAACGCTGAACAGCTCCTAAATGTGAGTTTATCAGCTGCAGTGTACATGAGCTCTAACTGGATCTTTGTTCCTGGGTGGGGGGTGCGGGACAGACAGTCACGTGACCAATCCATCATAGTGGTCACATGATCAGGGGCCCATCCTGCCACTCCCGATCATTGCTAGAGATAGTTGCTAGGTTGGGAGTGAGCTCTCATCAAAAGAAACTTTGGCTGTTCATGGACATGTAAGCATTGTGAGGGCCCACCCTCTTTGAGGCCACACCCTCTTTAAAGCCACACATATACACTGCACATAGTTTACAGGTGATAAATGACAGAACATTTTACAAAGCTGCACAGTTCTTTTTATACCTACTGGGGCAACGTGACTGTATAGGCTATTTTCTGGAAAGGCCTTCAATTTTCAGACTGCTCAGGTTAGAAGGAATAGAGTGTGTGTACGTGTGTGTGTACGTGTGTGTGTGTATGTGTGTGTGTATTGTGTATTTTTTTTATCCACATACACTAACTATGAAGGTCCTTGTCTTGATTAACAAAAATTTCACACCTCCAGATTCCTGAAATTCAATGGTATGTTTTAAAGTATTTGCATACACATTCCCTTTACTCTAAATTGTCGAAACCCAGGCCAATTAAATAAGTCCAGGACACAGGAAATCAAAGGATAATACTTAAATAAATATATATTTGGTTTGGGCAGTATGAATGCCAACATACACATTGAAATGTTCATATAAAAATAAATTATTCTGAAATAAAAAAAATAAACAAACAGAGTCTTTTTCCTGTAGGAATGCAAACTAAGCCATGGCAGAGGAAGCTTTTACTTTTGGCGATAATGCCTGTTTAAACCGTCTCTTTAAATCCTGCATATTGGGTGACCTTGGTCGTGGCATTATAGAGCCTCTCCTCTTCTCTACAGTGCTGGTGGATTGGTGTTTGCTGATTTCTTTACACAGGTGATGGAACACGTCACAAACGTCCTGACAGTTTTCACTAGTGGAGATCTCCACAAAGGAGCAGCCCAGTTCATTGGCCAGCTGGATTCCGGAATCTGAAGGCACCTGTCTGACATGGAGGAGGTCCCCTTTATTGGCCACTATAATAATGGGTATTTTAGAGTCCGAGTGCACCTTCCGAATGTGCTGGTGAAGGTGACGGATGTACTCGTAGCTCCTTAAGTCTGTGATTGAGTACACTAGCAGGAAACCTTCTGATGACTGAACAAACCGCAGCATGTCTGCAACCTGAGGTACATCATCTTCCACCTGTGCAAAAAATTTAAAATATACATTTATACATATCCCAAGATTTGACAGATTTTCATAGACTGATCAGCTAGGTACGTATGTGATCTGTTAACCAACATTTTTCTATGTAGCAATGAAGAAAGAGGAGTACATATAGTAATGGAGTAATAGTGAGGTAGGATTAAAGCCACACATTTTTTTCAGATTGGATTGAATAGGGAATGGATAAAACCACTTTTTGCCATCCAAAGTCCATTAGTGTGGATTACCCTCACTTCAAGTCATATACACACACAATAGGAAGTGAGAGGCAATCTTTGCAACTGACGTTTGCCATGCATGTATAGATTTTAAAAAAAATGGAACAGGTTCCTCCATCAATACTCTACAGTGAAGAGAGAAGAATTGTGTGCTGTGGCCATTTTATTTTGACAGTCAGCCCTGCCAGCTGTCCAAATATCTGAGCAGCAGCTGTATCTGATTAGATGTACTTGCTGGTCAGCCAAATATTTTCCGCCTGGCTTCTTCAAGTTTTGAATCAAAGGAGTTCAGGGTAGGATCAGGGCCACCCAAAAAGGGAATTTTTATCCAGTTCAAAATGCTTTTTTTTACATTCGGGCAGCAAAGATAGAATGTACACATATTTTTTTTTTTGGGGGGGGGGGGGCATTTTCTGATTCCATTTTAATAAAATATAATAGTGCATAAAAATAGATTTAAATGATTGTATAGCACAATAAAATCTGAACACTTTATGATATAGTAATTTGCAAGTGTCTGTCATACTGTTCAAGCTCTGAGTCACAGGAATCAATGACTCATTTACGTGGTCTCTATAATTTATCATTTTAAAGCAGAATTCAGAGGGGCTGGAAACAGAAGTATGACACATTTTCAAAAATCAGTATACACGCTAGAAATGAGTCAGACACCCAGCAGACAACAATAATCTGTACATGTGATATATACAGTAAGAGTCTCACCTTAACATAGCCTGGTGTGTCCTGGATCTGTAAAGCCATATGCTCTCCTTCTACAGCCACCAGCCTGGAGTACAAGTTTCCTGTTTGACAAAACAGAAATAGGCCATATTCAATAAAATGTCAAAAAGGGACTTGGTGATCATTTACAATTTAAATTATATCTAAACCCAAGAACAAAAATGCATATATTACAGCTCACAAGTCCTTGGATGTGGTGGCTGTATTAGTTTTCTTTTTTTAGTCCAAGTACATTTTCTGCAAGTTATGAAAAATACTTTTGATCCTGATAAAAATCGAATGTTTTTATGGCCCCTTTCACATGGGGCGGACCCATCAGCGGAACTGCTTGCTCAGCAGGGAATCTGTCTGCTGATCCCCGCTTAGCAAGTGGATGACAGGTCTGTGTCCACTCCGCTTATGCAGAGCAGACACGGACACAGCCCACTGTCTTCTATGGCCGCTCGGACGGAAAACAGACTGCTTGTCCATTTCCATCCGATCTGACGTACAGAAAGTCTCTTTTTGGTGGATCGGATGTCAGTGGGTGTAAAAGGACACATGTCTGTTTACACCCATCACTCCATAGAGGAGATTAGAGGTTTCAATCGGGTCCACCTGAAAAACAGGCAGGTGGACCCGATTGGAACGTATGTGTGAAAGGGGCCTAAAACTTCCTCTGCACTGAGCTGAAGTCTCAAACAATGTAATAAGTTTTCCCCTTCTCTTCTGAGGACTACAAAACCTCTCCTCCCTATTTAATGGAGACAAGGAGAGGAGGACATGTTTGCAGTCCAAATAAGGAGACAACACTGTTTCACTATAGATAGAGTACAACAGCCATTCTCCACTAAGGTTCTTTGAGCGGTGGCTGACTGAACTCCCATTTGATGATGCCTGCATAGTTACAGTGCCAACACCACTTGACAGAGCTGGCTGCATGACACCAATGATCTTTTTAGCTGTCTGTAAGGGGTGTATTCCTCCCATTGATCACCAATGTAAGGGGCATTTTCCCACTGATCTGGTTTTAGAAAGGTTTCTCCATAACCAGAACATTATTTCTAAGGTTCTTCTGGGACAAAAAAGTTGGGAAAGACCAAAGTATGGTGAGCTGATGTTGTCACCGTAGGACAGAAAGTGTGTTACTGGCAGGATCACCAAGTGGAAATAAAGGGAAAAAAGCCAAGAAAATGAGAACTAATGAGGCCATTACATCTAAGGACTAGTAAGACACCATAAATTATATTTTTGCTTTTTGGGTTTAGATGCACTTTAATCAGGCAAAAAAAAAGAAAAACCCTCACCAGTATTGCTTTCATAGTCTCCGATGAATCTTTTGGTAAGGAATCGCACAATCATTGCTGAAAGAAAAAGAAAGAGAGAAAAAAACACTTTAGCAATATGATACAATATAGCATAAAGAAACAAATCAACATCACCTAAAAATACATGAGGAATTCTGAAACTGCATGAAAGGGAAATGGAGTTGTTGGAAATGAACAGGTTCCTAGGTGTCTGTACTCTGCCTCTTCCATGTTTGTAGAAAGTTCTGGATATAAAGTTCTAAAATAAAAGACACAATTGCCACAGTGTCTAATCATTACTGGATACAGTATATCCTTTACATAAAAGCCAGTGGTGTACAAGGCCAGCCAGCTGTCAGTTGCAGAATTCAGTCGTGTGGACCACGTAGACTATAATGTGGAGTATAACACCGGACTAACTGTTGTCCGCAGAAAAGAATGTGCATCCTTCGGGACAAAGAAAGCCTGTCATAAGAAAAATCTGGAGGCTGCCATTGCTCGCCACCCTGAAAATGCTCACTGGTTGGCTGTCATGTTGAACCTTTTGTTTTAATGCTTTGAGCTACGAATTTGCAACAAGTATATAGATAAGGAGATTCAAATGTCCCAATTAAGAAAAAAAAGTGAATTCATTTACTTGTCACAAATTAGTGGCTCAAGGTACTTTGTTTTAAAAAAAAAAAAAGGAGCTAAAGGAGAGGATGGAACAGCAGCCAGGAAATTTGCATTTTGAGAAGCCAAAGTCAGTAATGATAGCCTCCATGACAGATTTAATTTAAGAATCTTTTTGGGGCTTTAAAATAAATTGTGGAAGTCTAGATTAGATATAGTATATTAGGTATACATGAAGTACATCATCTTATCAATTCCAGAACATTAGAACACTGGCAATGCACCCCCACAAATGACATAGAAGCAGTCAGAATTCAGTATTGGTCTGCCTCTGACCTTCAGGAAAACACACATATGGAATTATACAATAAGACCGCTTATTCCAGAAATCTGTAAAAAATGATTTAACTGTTCTGATTCCAAAGAACAGAAATCTGATTTTTTGAATTTGGGTTACCCACTTTATGAAGTATTTCCAGTCTCTGCATTGTCTTACTGTAAGATCCAAACAGAGGCATATCTACTAATATAGCAGATAAAGCAAATCTGTGGTCATCAGCCTAATGTGGTCACATTGGTGAAAGGTTTGTTCCAATAGGCTGCAGGGTATTTCTAAAATGAGCACATGGCTAATTCACACTACTGGAAATGACAGCAATCACCCCGACTGGTTACTGCACCAAAGTTAACATCGGTATCTGCAGTCCTACAGCGTGCTGCATCCTGGCATGACATGTATGGTCTGCATGGGGAGTCATGCAAAACCCCAACGATTCATAATAGGACACCAAATATCCCACAAACATTTAACATCTTCATCCACGTGCCATGATGTCATCCAATTTCAAAAAAATAAAATCCAGAATGGATCCAATTAATCAACGCTATATGCATACATAGTACAATAGTGAGCACTGTGTACAGATGTGATACACCAGGACAGAGCATGGTCTACAGAATACTCTTTACAGATGTGATACTGCTGGACTGAGTATTTATTGTCTACAGAGTACTCTTTACAGATGTGATACAGCTGGACTGAGTATTGTCTACAGAGTACTCTTTACAGATGTGATACACCTGGACAAAGCATTGTCTACAGAGTACTCTTTACAGATGTGATACAGCTGGACTGAGTATTATCTACAGAATACTCTTTACAGATGTGATACTGCTGGACTGAGTATTGTCTACAGAGTACTCTTTACAGATGTGATACAGCTGGACTGAGTATTGTCTACAGAGTACTCTTTACAGATGTGATACAGCTGGACTGAGTATTGTCTACAGAGTACTCTTTACAGATGTGATACAGCTGGACAGAACATTGTCTACAGAGTACTCTTTACAGATGTGATACACCTGGACAAAGCATTGTCTACAGAGTACTCTTTACAGATGTGATACAGCTGGACAGAACATTGTCTACAGAGTACACTTTACAGATGTGATACACCTGGACAAAGCGTTGCCTACAGAGTACACTTTACAGATGTGATACAGCTGGACTGAGTATTGCCTACAGAGTACACTTTACAGATGTGATACAGCTGGACTGAGTATTGCCTACAGAGTACACTTTACAGATGTGATACACCTGGACAAAGCATTGTCTACAGAGTACTCTTTACAGATGTGATACTGCTGGACTGAGTATTGTCTACAGAGTACTCTTTACAGATGTGATACAGCTGGACTGAGTATTGTCTACAGAGTACTCTTTACAGATGTGATACAGCTGGACTGAGTATTGTCTACAGAGTACTCTTTACAGATGTGATACAGCTGGACAGAACATTGTCTACAGAGTACTCTTTACAGATGTGATACACCTGGACAAAGCATTGTCTACAGAGTACTCTTTACAGATGTGATACAGCTGGACAGAACATTGTCTACAGAGTACACTTTACAGATGTGATACACCTGGACAAAGCGTTGCCTACAGAGTACACTTTACAGATGTGATACAGCAGGACTGAGTATTGCCTACAGAGTACAACTTTACAGATGTGATACAGCTGGACTGAGTATTGCCTACAGAGTACACTTTACAGATGTGATACACCTGGACAAAGCATTGTCTACA